CATAGATGAGGTTGTTGGAAGCAGCACAAGAACATGCATGATGTGGATATGATGGGCTAAAAAGGGTAAGGTTTTTCCAGATGAGATATGGCACCAAAGTTTATAACATTATGCAAAGCACTGCATTTCTACAGAGACAGCACAAGAAGCCTTGCATCTGTGTGCTCTTTGAAAATATCTCCCAAGATTCGACTTAAGTAATACCATTATATTCTGTGGTTACAATGGGCATTGTTACATGCTGGTTGCCAGCCAACCAAAGATGACTCAAAATCAATGTACTGGGAGGAGGTGGGAGGGAGAAAAGAGAGAGAATGGAAAGCAGAGTCCTCTTTAATTTATAATGGCTTGAAAAGATTCATGGTTGCTTCACAGGACTGGTAATAGGCCACTTTATTGAAAGGAATGGTACCAGAAAGTGGCAGGTAGGAGTAGTGACAAATATAAAAATCAGTGTATGTTAATACGCTTCAAGTTTCATTATATTCTCACTTCTTTAATGGTAGCTGCAGCTGAAGATTATTTATGGTCATAGATTTGACTTTCAATTAGACTTCTGAGCATGCAAAGAAGAAAACCAGTAGTTGTACTTGATAACTGCCATATATTCCCATCCTTTCCCACCAAAGAATGTGAAAAAAAATGTGTTCATAGGCATCAGGTTTGAAAAAAATAAAAAGCAAAAGATGGAGGAATATAGAGGATGAGACAGGCTTAGTCCCCCCCATGTGTAAGTGGGGAGATATGACAGAGGTGGCTCTGAAGACAGATTTAAGAGAATCTTTGAAAGGGTGAGAAGTATTCTACTTATAGGAGATTTCTTTGTGCATGTTCACTCTAGGTAACGCTATGTGTAAGGTTCCTTGTTTTTTTTCCTGCCATATCAGCTACAATCTTTGGGAGTCAGCATCTACAGCTCCACTTTGAAAGTGTCAGCTGAGCACTATGAGAGAATTGTGGGATCAGGTCAGACATGTTACATATCTGAAGGATATTCCTTCTACTTATCAAGTGAAATACTGAGGAGTTGCCTTGTGGAAGAAAATCCATACTAGAGTGTCACATAGGAAAGACACCCTGAAGTCTGCTGGCCTAGTGAGTATAAAGCTAAATACCAGATGCAGACAACTAGTCATCATAATGAGGAAGAGAACACAATTTCCCCTGCCTCCAAGTCTCAACCTCATAAGATATTGAGTCCTATAAATTGCTTAATTTCATAGCATGGTGACATCAATCTGTCATCCAAACTAAAGTATGACCTGTATGTAGACTTGTGCGGTGTTTGAAATGTGAGGTGGCGGCATATGTATGTTACTCCAGTTGTTTTTAAATACAGGTTATGCCACAAGAAGGCTTAATAACCACAGTAAAAAGAAGAGAATCTTTAATGCCCAGCATAGATATCTCATCAGATCCACCAAATGCGTCATATTTCAGATGTGCTTCTTACTGAGATTAATTTAATAGGTTTATCTGAACAGCAAATGACCAATGCTTTTGATTGCTTTGTACACAATCCTGCATGTAAGCCTCTTAGCTATGATCATCTAATGATTCCCTCCATCCTTCCTGACATAAGCATTTAGTGTTAATATTGGGCAAAGATACAGAACTGTTAACTGGCCATAAAGAGTGGTCTGTTAGAATGCAAGATAAACCTTAAGATAAAATAATGTTTCAAAAGAAGAAATCACCAACAGTGGAAAGATGACAGAGAGAAGTTGAAGTGGAGCCTAATATAGAAAGAAATATCTTTAGAATGAAAGTCTGAAAGCTACGGGTTAAAATCCAAAGTGAACAAGGAATGAAATCCTTAAGTACAGAGTCTCCATTTAAAATAAGTTTGCTTGAATGAAGGCTTTGGGATTCACTTGTGAACTCTTTGCAGTGAACCATAATAAACTTCACTCAGCCTTCTCTATGGTTTCACTGACAGTTACTGGGGGAAATCTGGATGACAAGCAAATATGTAGTGCATCTAACAAGCCTGTGGCACAAAGGTGAATTTTTACGTTTGTTTCAAGCTTTAACTCTGTATCTGAAAACACTTTTACACTTCAGCTAGTTATCTTGTATAACAAAACACATCTATCTAGAGGATTTGCTTTTATAGACATTTTTTTTCTATAACGGCTTTGGCTTCAAGGACAAACTGAAGAATGTACATCGCAAGCTCATTTGATAGTTACTATTAAAAGAGGAACTATTTTCTTTAAAGATGGAAAATATGATTAAAGACTAACATGTAGATCTCTGCAAAAGGCAGGAATTTATTAGAAGAAGGCCCTTTAAGAAATGAGGCCTTAAGTCCATTTGTGGGTGACTTCAAAATGAGTGACTTTTTATGAATTCCTTTGAACTATGCAACTAGATAGGTCTTGTGAAAAGCTCTGCTTTACCTCATTATAGCTATGTAGATTTATAATTTACTCTGTAGCTGCACCTCTAGATGTCCTGTTTGTTGGCTATCTTGTTACTGGCATGAATAGGTTAATAGAGCAGGTTTAATAGAATCCTATGTTTCCATGGGAAGAAAAGTAATCTCAGAAGGAAACGCAACTTTTAAATTTGTTAATCATAACCAAGAACTATGAAGTTCCAGCAGTACTCCCTAGGATGTTGAATATATCACAGATGCTGCTTGAAACCATCCCTTGACACCAGAGCTAATCTTCAATTGAATTAATTCACCTACCAAACTGTATTAATTCTCCCTTCACTGTTTTTCATTTAATTAGTATTTCCTCATTTGAGAATAAATTTTCCATTCTTGTTATCAGTGCAGCAGAGGTACAAGTAATTACCAAATAAGATATAAGTAACTCATTAAATATATTTTTTTTTATTATCTTGTGTAGAAACTTGGTTGGGACTTGACAGTGCTATTAGCTGCAGACTGTCAAAATGCATGTTGCAAACTGACTGTGGCATGATGAGTTTGAACAGATTCTTCCAAGTTTTTGCTACTGTGAGTTAGCTACTAGCTCATATCGTTACGCGTGGAGGTGGCAGGCTCTCTACTTAGAGCTGAACAAGACCCTTGGGCATTTTCTGCTTGTATGGCTTTGCAGCTTCTTAATGGAATTTGTTGCCACAAAATGCGGAAACAGAGTAGCTGAAATTCTGTCTAGCTGGGAAACCCAAATAACATATAAGGTTTCCGGTTGTTGTGGCCGATTGTTCACTGGTATGAAAGTCAGTTCATACTTCAATGGTCTATCTACGAGGCTATTCTAGTTACATGAGCTAATTGTGCTGCTTCTTTCTCAAAGCTTTTGTTAAGAAATATCAAATGTGCTTTAGTTGCCTATTGATGCAGAACAGAAAAGATGCATAATGGGGGGAAAAATTCAAATTGTTTTCTATTCTAGTCTTGCCCTTTCCTCTGTACTGAAGCCTTATTAAAAATTAAGGACCTTCCCAGCCCCCAGTGCAAAAGTGGACCTTATGACCCACTGACTTTAGCAAAACCTAAGCTCCTAAGTAATTTTAACAGTTTCAAAGACTCTACCTATGGAGAATTTTTCAATATACTTTAGAGTTAGGGATAAAATAAATTGCTGAAACTTGTACAAGCTGGAAAACTGTTGCCAAGAGTTGGAGTTGTTTTTTCTATCAAAAACAAGAGCTCCCCAATTTGTGGGATAACTGAGAGTTGTGGAGCTGCTTGTATTTTGAGGGCTTAAACAACTTGTGGTAATAACATCCGAAACCTTGAAATCACAGGCTTAGCCTTCAAATTGCAGACTTTACTCAGTAAAATAATAATTTAAAAGTTTTATCCCATACAGATTTTTACCACATTTATTTCTCTTTGAAAAAAGGCATCAAGATACACACTAATAAAGATATTAATACAGTCATAGAATACCAGGCTGGAAGTGACCTCAAGGATCATCTGGTCCAACCTTTCTAGGCAAAAGCATGGTCTAGATGAGATGGCCCAGTACCCTGTGCATCTGAATCTTAAAAGTGCCAGTGTTGGGAACTCCACCACTTCCCTGCGGATATTATTCCAATGGCTTATCTTTCTCATTGTGAAGCATTTTCCTTTTGTGTCCAGTCGGAACATCCCCAGGAGTAACTTGTACACATTACCCCTTGTGTTTTCCATGTGACTCCTTGTAAAATGGGAGTCTCCATCTTCTTTGTAGTTGCCCTTTAAGTGTTGGAACATGATGGAAAGGTCTCATATAAGCCTTCATTTCTCAAGGCTGATCAAACTCTGTTCTTTCACCCTTTCCTCATGTGTCAGACTTCCCAGTGCTTTGATATTCTTTTCCCTCGTCTGGACCCTCTCCAGCCTGTCCACATCTCTTTTGTATAGTGGGGACCAGAACTGAACACAGTGTTCTGGGAGTGGCCTGACAAATGCTGTGTAGAGCAGGATGATGCCTTCTTTATCTCTGCTGGTGTTGCCTTTATTGATGCAGCTCAGCATCCTGTTGACTTTCTTTGCTGCTGCAGTACTCTGTTCACTCATATTGAGCTTGTTGTCCACTAGAACCCTCAGGACCATTTCCACAGAGCTGCTCTCCAGCCAGATACATCCCAGCCTGTGCTGCACCCTGTGATTATGTTTTCCCTGGTGCAAGAACTTATATTTGTCTTTTTTGAACTTCATAATGTTCTTGTTAGCCCACTTTACCAGCCTATCCGGGTCTTCCTGCAGGGTAGCTCCCTTATCCAAAGTGTCCACTTCCCCACTCAGTTCAGTATCATGGGCAAACTTCATCAGAGTATACCTGATCCCATCATCCAGGTTACTTATGAAGATATTAAACAGAGTTTGGCCCAATGTCAATCCCTGGGGGACTCCACTTGTGACAGGTTACCCATTTGAAAAGGAGCTATTTACCAGCACCCTCTGAGTGCGACTTGTCAGCCAGTTTCCCACCTACTGCACAGACCACTTGTCTAGACTGTAACACAGCAGTTTCTTTAGGAGAAGGTTGTGGGGAACTGTATCAAAAGCCTTGGAGAAATCCAGGTAGACAATGTCCACTGCTTGCCCCACCTCATCTGAGCAGGTTGTAGAAGGTGATCAGGTTTGTCAAGCACGATTTGCCCTTGGTGAATCTGTGCAGGTTTTTCCCTGAATTGTGGAAGCTCCCAGGAGGATCTGTTGCATAATTTTCCCAGGGATTTAAATGGGAGTATTTGGCCTGTAGCTTCCTGCATATTCCTTTGAGCCCTTTTGGTAGATGGAGGAGACATTAGCCATCTTCCAATCTTCTGGGGTGTTCCCTGATCTCAGCAACTTCTTGAAGATTCTGGAGAGTGACCTCACAGCAGTGTCAGCCAGTTCTTGTAACACCCTCATGTGGTAACGTGAGGGCCTGTTGATTTTCAGGGGTCAGACTCCTGTTATAGTTCACATACTGACTCTTCTTTCACTGACAGTGAGTCTGTGTTTGCACCAACCTGGATTTTTTTTTGGAAGGCCTGGGGTTAATTTCAAATATAAAGAAACAGCTCTAAAAAAGACCAAATTACAGATTCTTACAGAGTAATGCATGTTTAATTTAAGTAATGAGTTACTCTATAGAATTTCTGTATTAAAAAAATGGATGAACAAATTCACAATTCTAACAAAGTTATTTGCATTCTATGGGAGTATAGTAATATTTCCTACAGCTTTTTTTTACCTAATTTTTTTTTACTCTTTTTTTTTTTTACTTTTTTTTACTTTTTTTCAACATGAAGGAGGGGAGAGAAAAAAACCCAAACAGTGCAATCTTAGACATTCCTCTGTTAAATAGCTTCTGAAATGCTGATAACACTACTAAGAAATGTTTCCTCTGGCTATGTCTGTTCCACTCAGCAGTGTCTGAATGGTGATAGATGCTGCCTGTAGTTCAGTTCCGCTTGTTCAGTAGTTTATTGGTAATCACTTATCTGAGAGTTGAAAGGTGCTTATCTGCCCAGTTAGAAACGTGTACTTACATGTGATGCACACTCACAATATAGCTTCTACCCCTTGAACACACTGAAATTGTTTTCTTATCAGTTCCTCAGACATGTAGATCACTGTAGAATTAACAAGAATGACAAAATGCAAATTACTCTTAAACAGTATTATGTACATTGCCTACATCACACCCTACCACAGAAATAACGTGTAGGGTCTTTTCCCTAGTACACATTTTTCCCTAATACACATTTTAAAACTCATCTCCTTATAGCAAATCTCAGTATTCCTGTTCTTACAGGTATTTCTGCATGTCATCTACCATTAATAAACAAAGCAGCTGTGGCACTGCAAAACATGATTGGCTTTTTTGGGACAAAATTTGCTACATTTTGTCTTATCCTGCAAAGACATTTTGTTTCCAATTTCCGTTTTTATGGTTAACTACTTCAACCTCTACTTTTGCAGCTATGACCTTGTTGCAGTAGAAATCCTGCATCAGGGAGAATTTAGTGTGCTGTGACCTGCCTCATTCTTGCCTCATGCTGCCAGACATCTCTTGAATACCAACAGAGCAGGGATTTGCACTTCAGTACATACTGCCCAAAAGGTTAATCAAGGTCTCTTATGTTGTAGTTAGAAAACTCAAGTATCCTTTTAATGAGCAGTGCTTTCAGACTGACTGTGGCTTGATCTAAACCTATTCAAAGATCTATGTAAATACCAATTTTTAGGATACTGAGTTTACAGTGACTTCCTTGAGAATGTCAAGGACTCAGTAAATTATTGCTTCTCAACACCTGTACTTTCAACCAAGCGTGTGTGCTTTTGATTACTTTATCATGGCCAGAATTCGGTACTCGTATATAAAAAAATGATGGGGAAATATGAAGAGTACACAGGGACATGAGTCATTGAGTATCATTGTAGGGAGAACAAAGGTAGTAAAGTGTAAGGTTAATTTAGGTATTCTGACTCACTGTTCTGAGGAGCTGCCCTTTCTTTCCACTGATCACAGACAAAGCCTCAGTGTACTAAGTAAGCAAACAGACCCTATAGTTGAGTGATGTGAATTTTCTTCCATAAACATCTGTTATTTTAATAACAATTAAGGTAAAAATTTGTATTTCCTAATCTTTTAGCACAGATAAATTAGAGGGGAACTTCTTGCCTTACCTTCTGTTCAGGGAATAGACTGCATGGGTTTGTGTACAGCATTTACCTGAGCTGTTCACCTGCTAGCAAGGGAAACATTTATCAAGAGGACTTCGGTCCAATTTACAATGTTTGCGAATGATTAAATTGATTGTCTTTATTTTTCTTACAGGAATTGTTTCAATTATGACTCTCACTGTTCTTGCCTATGAACGCTACATTCGAGTAGTCCATGCAAAAGTGATTGATTTCTCTTGGTCTTGGCGGGCTATCACATACATCTGGCTCTACTCACTAGCCTGGACTGGAGCACCTCTTTTGGGCTGGAACAGATACACACTGGAAATTCATGGATTGGGTTGCTCAGTGGATTGGAAATCAAAAGACCCCAATGATACCTCCTTTGTGCTTCTTTTTTTCCTTGGCTGTCTAGTAGCACCTGTTGGGATCATGGCCTATTGCTACGGCCATATTCTATATGCAGTAAGAATGGTAAGTTAATTAAAATAACAATTCTCTTAATGTAATGTTTTCAGTGTGTCATGCTTTGGGCCCAACACGACAACAAAGGAACAGCCCCATGGCTGCTCACTCAAGTCCCCCCCCCCTCCCCGGGATGAGGAGGACAAAGCTGCTGGGTCAAGACAAAAGGACAAGGAGGGTTCCTCACTGATTAAGGTCCCAGGCAAAACAGACTCAACTTGGGGAAAAAATAATAATTTAATCTCACATTAATCAAATGCACACAGGACACAGAACACAGAAAACACAAAGAGCAGTGCTTAAATACATTGCACCCACCTGTCTCTTCTTCATGGGCCCAAATAACTTTGTTCCCAGTTTCTCTCCCTCCTTCCCCCCAGTGGCACAGGGGGACAGGGGATGTGGTTTAGAGTAAGTTTCCTTCCTCTTCAGGAAGGAGGATTCCTTACAGTCCTTCCCTGCTTCCCCACAGGGTCCCTCCCATGGGAGAGAGTCCTCCATGAACCTCTCCTTCATGAGTCCATGCCACGAGGTCTGGAGCTGCTCCAGCCTGGGCTTGCCAGAGTCATGGGCTGCTTTGGGAACAAACTCCCCTGGCACCAGGGTGTTCCAAAGCTGTTCTAAACAGCCAGACAATGGACCACTAAATGTAGACCGAACTTTCTTACACTAGCAAATGAGGACAAGTTAGCTTTCTAAAATACTTAAGATGATGAGTGCAGCTATATTGCTATTCTATTTTTCCTCACATTACATTTTTACACTTGATATACAAAATAAAAGTCTGTGAACCATCATGTAAACTTCCAGAAGAATTGTGGCTCATGAGAAAAGGTGTATAGTTGTCTGTGCCGAAACCTAAATCAGTTATTTATACCTAACTCTAGAACTGCTCAGTTTAAAGTTAAATATAGGGACGTTTTACCTTATCATTTATCTTTTTACTTCTACAGCTTCGCTGTGTCGAAGATTTCCAGACTGTTCAAGTGATCAGACTTCTAAAATATGAAAAGAAGGTGGCTAAAATGTGTTTCTTAATGATCTCTACATTCCTTATTTGTTGGATGCCCTATGCAGTGGTCTCTCTCCTGGTAACATATGGCCACAGCAATGTTGTAACTCCAACTGTAGCTATCATCCCATCTTTCTTTGCCAAGTCAAGCACAGCCTATAATCCAGTAATCTATATCTTCATGAACAGAAAGGTAGGTACGTTAAAGATTTACTTATTTTAGTAAATAGTAGCAAATACCACAGTTGTCTAGTTTAGGTCTGGTTTGCTTTAATCTATAAAGCTTAGATTAAAAAAAAAAATAAAATTGAACAGCTAGGATAAATAGTGTAAAAATCTAGCAGAATTAAAATCCCTGGTGGGGCTTAAAGTACTACCTTATTAAAAATTGGATTTTAAATACCTGAGTTCACTCTTGAGCACCCACATTAAAGGGAGGGGAATGACTGTCAAAATTTACATGTCTAGTTTTGACAGTTGACCTATGAAATAGATTACAACTAGAAAACCATCATCTGAGTCACTCCCTTACCACAACAGAACTCTGTCAGAGAAAATTCAGAATACCAAATGTCTGTTTTTTGGGAAGAAAAATTTGCCTCTGACTCTTCTGTTATGACAAGAAAAGTATTGAACAACTTGGTGTAGTATTTCAAATATTACATCAGTAACATTTCTCAAAGCTTCATTGTATTCAAAGCCAGAATCTCATGTTCATGACAGTTAAACGCTCTTTTGAAACAAATTTTATACTGTTAGGAAGCCATACCTATCTATGACATGCAAGTTTTTATTTATGTCTGCCTTTATAGTCTTCATTATGAAAAGTAGACTACCTTTAATATAACCCTGAACACTAACTGGAATTGTAACATGTAAACTTCTGAAACCAAGACTGTATAAAGTTACAGATAACTGGAGTTTAATAGAACCACTTGACAAAGATTAAAAAATCAGGAGTAATTGCTAGAAGGATTTCCCTGGGTTTTCATTACATTTTAGCTCATTATAAAAAATAATTTTCCTGTGATTTCCTACACTAGTTTGCAATAGCCAGGCAGCAGCCTGGGCTAGCCAGCAATCTCTGAAATCTTCAAGACCACCACATAGGCCTTCTCTTTCACCAGATTATCTTGCTCTGTCATTTTGTAACTTTCTATGTCCTCTTTCCAACCGGACCTGTTGCCTCCCAAGCATCAAAGTAGGATTGATATCCTATAACAAAATTTATTGTGTAGTACTTGGAAAAAGAAAGTCACTGGCCATGCAGAATAATACAGAATAATCCTTAACACAGCTAAATGGAATGTTGTTTAGAAGGATGTCCTACTATTTTTCAGAGAAAAGGAGGGTGTCTTCCTGCCTTATCCCTCCCACTCCCCCATTTGTTGGGGAGTCTAGTCCTCTTGTTCTTAGCAGATTGTCGATTGCAGATCCTTCTGCTGCTAAAACACTAAGTAGCATTTCAGTGCCCTCTACTGGCTAGGTGATCCTCTTCAGCTCTTCGGCACAGAGTAAAAAAGTACCCACTAAAAAATGCCACCATGCTTGTTACAGCACTGAAACCACCTCAGAACAACGTGGAGATGTGCAGAAATATGTGGGTTTTTTTAATACATTTATTGTACTGCTGTGTTCACTGGATCGTAGTGAGTGCTTAGGAAGTTGTAACTTCATTCTATCTATTCTCTCTTGCAGTTTCGACGATGCCTTTTGCAACTCCTGTGCTTTCGCCTGATGAGGTTCCAGAGGACTGTGAAAGAGAAACCATCAACAGAGAATGACAAACCAATCCGACCAATAGTTATGTCTCAGAAAGCGGGGGATAGACCAAAGAAGAAAGTGACTTTCAGCTCTTCATCTGTAATTTTTATTATCACCAGTGATGACACTCAGCAAATAGATGACAACAGTAAATACAATGGGACAAAAGTAAATGTCATCCAAGTAAAGCCACTGTAGGGATAAAGTAGAGACATGAGAATGAGATGGACTTTAGCCAGTAGGCTGTTTTGTTTGGAGACCAGTCTCAGTGGCTCTGTCTGTGGGCTGCCAAAAGAAACCGTGTTCTCAAGCTGTGAAATACTGAAGGGATTCTGCAGGTGAAGCTCTGCAGGCATTTCTGTTTTGGCCACAGTACTGAAATCTCTGCATCTGTGCCAAAATTTCTGATGGATGTCTTTACTCTGAATGTTCTTGAAGTATATTGTAGGATTGCCATTCAGGAGAGCTTGGTCAGGCTGGACAAATACGCTGACAGAAATGTTACGAAGTTCAGCATGGGCAAGTGCAAAGTCCTCTACATGGGATGGAAGAACAATGCTGCAGCACAGTAGAACAGAGCCTGGCTGCCTGGGATGCAGCTCTGTGGAAAAGGATGTGGAGTCCTGCAGGGCATGAGCCTGCAATGTGCCAGAGCACCCAGGCTGTACTGACAGGATAAAAGCCAGTAGTCTGAAGTGATTATGCCCTCAACTCAGCCCTTGTTAGGCCACATTTAGATAATGCATCCAGTTTTGGGACCCAAATACAAGACTTCTGTAAATTGGGGTAAGTTCAGTGAAGTCCCTTGAGATTGTCAGGGGCTGTAGTACTTGGCCTGTGAGGAGAGGCTGGGGAAGCTGCACTTCACCAGCCTGGAGATGAAACATCCTCAGGGGAACCTAATAGCAGCCTTCCAATATAGATGGGGAGGTTTTCAACAAGATAGAGCCAGGCTCTTCAGGGTGATTCCATAGTGGAAGGATCACAGACAACAACGATTAACTGAAGCAGGAGATCTGGATAGAATATAAGGAGAAGTTTTTTTACCCTGAGGACAGCTAAGCAGTGGAACAAGTAAGACTAGGGGTTTCCTGAGGTTCTTTCCAGCTTCAGTTATCCTGCAGTCTCTGAACAGCATTCCCAGCACACAGTTATCAGGAAAAAAGGAGGAATGTTTGAAGCTAATTGTAGCTTATTTGCTCTGAATTGGCACTTTGCAGGGTGGGGGTGCAAAAGGTGATGTTGACAACCATAACTGGGGTTATGGTTAAATCAGAAGCCCCAAGAAAGGTGTCCCTGTGTGCTTAGCAGACCATCGTCTTGGTGCTACCTGGTAGGACCCCTGAGCTACATAGTGAAGAAAATAACACAAATCAAAGCACCAGTAAAAAAAGGACAGTGAAAAGGGAGAATTGTTTTTGTTAACAGCATGTGGTCAATACCCTTTTATCTTGCATCCATTTTTTCTGTACATGGATGAGGAGCATCATCCTATATTAATCCTGAACCTACTCTGACACTATTGTGAAAGTAATGGTTAGGGGAGATCAGGATAATTTTTGCCTAAGTTCCAGCGTGAGTAATGATTGCCTTACTTGGAGCTCAGTAAACAGAGTAAATAGAGATTTTTATTTCCCCTGTCTCACCTTTCCGAGTGGTGCTGGTACAAAATGGCAACAGGATTCTGCCTCAGACATGGCTTCCTGTCAGTATTGATTGAGTAAGTTAGAGAACTAATTTTGAATTATGGCAGCTGCTAAACAGGCCTTGTGGACCTGCAACAGGCAGCTTTTCCATTTTCTGTGAAAGCTGTAGGAAAAGCAACTAAGAAAGAATTTATTTCCTCTGGGGACAAATCTGAGAGGTATAAAGGGAACATACTGAATAGCTGTTGGCACTGTAGCTGTTGGTCCTGCAGTAAAGAGTACAACTTCAAAAATAAATAGAAAAAATCAGGGTCTGAATGTAGAAGCTTTAATCTAGTCTGTGGAAGCAGGGGCTGACCTCAACTCAGAACAAGTGACTGGCTTTGTGCTTGTGTCCATGCTTTTGAAGAGGCAAATTCCTTCTATGTGCACCCCTCTAGAGCTCTAACACTGGTGAACTGGCTCTGTGTTATACTTAAAAGTGCATCCAGAGTCTATTCTGGTTTCTAGATTAAATCATATAACCTGAGAGAAAACAGATGAGAAATACTAGTGTTTGTTGCTTTTATATTTGGGTTTGTTTGAGTTTTTGTTTGTTGGTTTTTTGTTTGTTTGTTTTTTGGGTTTTTTGGTTTGGTTTCGCTGCCAATACATAGATATGTTTTCTTATGATGTCAAAGATCTGCCCTTACTAAAGCATGTTCATTGCAACTTCAAGAACTGCTTTTTCATCCAGTGATCACTATATCTATGCACATTTATGTTTATAAAGGAAGAAAGATGTACATTAGCATTCCATATAATGATTCCATCCTTTCAACAAGATGTTTGGTATTTTAGTGCTTTCTGTATATCAAGCCTTCAACAAGTGATTAAATGTACCTTATTTATATCAATGTGTTCTTGGTGAAATATTTTTTTCTCCAATGAGAGGGAGATGGTTTGGTATTGTCACTTGTTTGATACATCTTGAAGGGTAGCACTGGGCCCTGAGAAAACAATAGCATTTCAGGATTCCAGTTGACCTTTGTAAAGAACAAGTATAGTGTCTGTAAAGATAAATTACCCATTGTTCAGATTTATGAAGGTAAAATTTGAATACTTTACAATAACAGTATATGATTTTTAAAATAATTGATGTGCAACATATTTACCACTACAATGCATAACACACTAATGATTATGTAACGATACCTGAAAATGAAACACTAAAATTCTTGTCAATTTGTTATCTTGGCTACTTTGCTTAAATTGGTGGCCTAAAATGATACATTTTTTCCACTGCTTGAGGTGACTTGATCTTATAGGCTGTAGTGTCACTAGCTTTGTAAGCATGGGCATGTGAAGTTAGCATGCTGCAATCCTCTTTGCTCATCTTTTAAGCTCCATTATTTTCTGTGGGCAACTGCAGCACTGCTGCAAAATTCACACTCTGCTACAGAATTTAAGTATTGTAACAGTCAGTCTTTGAGTATCACCAGGTTATTTATGCGTATATATATATTTTTTTTTAATATAACATTTAAAGTCTCCCTTTGGACTATGGGAATGTCACAACTGGCTGTTTTATTCCAATGAAGATGCAGAGATATATGTGGGACATTTATCTCCCATTACAGGAAATGGAAAAGGAAGATGATTAGCATTTATATTTGGACCACTAGCTGTTCCTTAAGTCAGAGAAATGCAGACTAAGAAAGAGGAGAAGGAGAAAGTGTGAAGGTCAAAAGGAGAAGAGATAAGAAAGGTATCTTATTTATGAAAATTTTAAATAAACTTCTTGGTAAGAATTTAATGATCCCATCATGCAAAGGGAAGTGGCAATTGTGGTGAGTACCATGAGATAGCCTTAGAGCCAGTCCATTTCCCATAATGATTTTTCACTGATTTCATGGATTACTGGAAAAATACATGAGATGATTTAGCTAGAATGCCATGCCTAACCTGCAAATACAGGAGCCTCAGTTAAATTACTTCCCAGCAGCTTGTGTGTCAGCGCTCTGTTGGGAGGCATTTCTGCATCTCCTGCATGCTGGGCTAAGGATCCCCTTTCACCCTGTGTTTTGAGGTAGTAATGAATGCTGAAACTGTGTCCACTGACCTGCCATTGTAGAGGATTCTGCTGCTGTCCTGGATCCCATGGAGGCAAGAAACTGCAGGATATATGGTGCAGATCTGCTCCACAGCCTTGTTACCCTCTTCTTTTTTCAGCTCCCAGGAGAAGCTAGATTTATGCTGAATGTATCTGACCTCATGGAGAGTAGTCTTGTCTTATACTGCTAAGACATTATCTTTTATCACAAAGATTACATCAGCCAGGAGATAAGTATTCACAAGCATTATCCTTTGTGCTCCTGTGGCAGCATCTTGCTGCTGTTTCCTGCTAGAATACTGCAACAACTAAGTGAAATGAATATCCAAGTGCTATGTTATGCTAAACCATCCAGAAAGAACAGCCCTTAAGAGTACATTTATCCTTAGCTTACATAAACAACCTTCTGCTCAAAAATGGAATTTGAATTACAATATTTAGAGGTAAGAGGTGAGAAAATTCTGACTATGATGGCAGAAGATTTCACATACTCAGGTCACTGCCTGCGCTCTGAGCTGACTCTGCATTTCCTTTATCCAGCTGCAGCTGAAAATCAGTAATGCCTTTCTCTCTCTTTCTCCTTAACATATTAGTATTGAAGAATTTACTTGCAACGCATAAAAGCTGAAGAGGAAATAAAAATTATTTTCAGTAGAAAATAGGATGCAGGTTGTTAGCAAGTCTTGGCATCAAGCACTGCCTGGACCTGGCTCTTCTGCTTCTTGCTTCATTGCAATTTCCACAGTGTTTGCGCTCCCTCTGGTGGCTTGTTCTGCTCGCTGCCTGCTGATGGAAGAAAGCCTGGCCTCATAAAAGCCTCTTTTCGTTACACATTTTTCCCTGAATATGGGAAGATTCACATTTTCATGTCTATTATATCTTATTTATATTGCATGTACTTCTGTCTTCGAAAAAAGATGGGAAATATATATCTGTAAATAATAGGAAATCTGACCTGTCACAATGGACACAGTGGATTTGAGGACCTTATATCTTTGTATGTTCTGCAGAGTGCAGCCAAATAGGAGACTGGTTATACAGGCATGGTGCTTTCTAAGTCCATTTTTTGTCTTGCTGAAACTTTCTCCAAGTGAAGGTAAAATTCCAGTTGTTGTGTCTCAAAGCAGCCTGAGGTCTACTCTGAGGGAGAAATAACATGGATACATACTGGTTAGCCATACTAGTTTTCAGCAGATTTATAAATCAATGATTGAGACTGAGGCCAAGATAAGTGTAGAATTATTAAACCTTACTTAACAAGCTTACTGCCACCGTGCCCTTTATTCATATTTACTGAATTTCTATTACTATAGTGAGATTCCAGATGTAACTAAAATGGGATTTTGTTTCTGTGATGGATGCCTGTGAGACAGAAATGAGAAATTACTCTTCTCCTTCATCTATGCCATTGTCTTAATGGTTTATCTAATTGACTTGCATCAATACACCCTCAATACTCT